CACCATGCCGATGATCTGGGTTTTTAATTGTCCCTTTCCTGGAGTAACAGGTTTGGATTGGGTCCGAGGGCTGGGTTTGTGATACTTCTCCAGCTGAGCTCCATGGGGATTCAGACTCACTCGAGGGGAGAGAGGGGAGCTCCAGCTCCAGGTGAGGTTCCCTGAGACACCTGTTCACATTAGGAACGTCACCCGGGGCCGTGTTGGGAATCGGGCCTGAGTGCAGGGGGACTTCCCGCCTGGAAGTGGGGCCTCGTGCTTGGAAGGCCAGCTGGCGGTCTCGTGCTGCCTGCAGCCGGGGGTGGTTGTGACTTGGACTGTGGCTCCAGCCTCCTTAGATTAATGGAGGGGTGCTTTAAGTGGGTCCCCCAGGCCTGGAGCGAGCGCATTATCCACGGGGTCGCTGTGCTGGCTGACACACTGGCCCCCTCTCTTCCTGGCCCAGGGTCTGCGGCCGCCCTGTGTCGCTGCAGGTGGGAGTTGGGTGGTTGTAGACGGTGGGTGCCCTCTGACCTCTGGATCCGCTCACAGCACACAGTTCTAGCTGGGTCAACGGGAGATGAAGGTTCTGGAAAAGCGTCCTCTATTGCCGGATGGAGTGTGAGCCGGACCTTTCCCAGCACACGTTCTTTTCTAACCTGGCTAAAATTGGGAGCACGCGTCGAGAGGTCTGGGCCTAACTGGAGCTGGTGGCTGCACCTGGGGACACACTTCTAAGTCCCCTGCTTCGTGGCGGGGTGGCCCTGGGAACGCCGAAGGCCTCTTGTGACAACTCTTACTGCTGGTTCCCCCCCAGGAGAGTGGGCATGCCCAGGCGGGAGCAGAGCGTGAAAGGCTTGTGCGTGGACCTAAGAAGGTGCTGACCTGGTCCAGGGAGCCCTGCAGGGCCCTGGTGCAGAGACACGCGTTTAGACGCTGCCACCCGGGGACCTGGCCTTCTGAGCTGGTCCCTAGCCAGACGCCAGCTGATGGGATGCACAGGGCTGGAGCTGCAGGACAACAGGCATCAGCGCTGCGGCATCCCAGGGAGGGACACAAGCTAAATGACGGGCACTTCTCCGGTGGCCTCCCCAGGTGCCAGGTCCTAGGCTGCACCCACCACGACTCTCTGAGGTTCCTGTCACTGTCAGATGACAGATGAGGAAACTGAGGCTGGAGAAGTCAGGAGCCTTGTCACCAGGGACACGGAAATGAGGGAGCCAACTTGGGTTTTCAGGCCGACCTTGTCACCCAGCTTCTAAGACGAAGCTCCTCTGTCCTGTGAAACAGACCCTGTTTGCTCCCTTCCCTTGTCCAGGTCTAAGCGCTCGGCCCAGCCCTGGCCTGTGTGTCTGTCACCCAGGAAACAGGGGCCAGTGGGTCCCTGGGCTCCTGCTGAGGGATTTGCATTCAGACTGCAGGTGCCCGGAGAAGGCTCACCCCCAGGAGACCCTTAATCAATTATGCTGCCGATTGTCAGTCCTCTGTTTACAGATTCTTGGCCCAAGGACCTTGTCATTATTTTTTTTAAGCCATGTGCTCTCAGAGAGAAGGAAACACTGCTCACCAGTCAGGAGAGGAGAGGTCCAGTCCCAGGTGCCACCAAATGGGTCAGTGCCACGGACAGGTCAGCTGCCCTTTCTGGCCTTGCTTGCCCACTTGACAGATAGCAATCAAGGGACACCTCTGTGTTAGGACTCAAGGAGACAAGGAGACTCCACCTGCCCCACTGAGCTGGTACCCGAGAGACTCTTCACATAATGAAGGGGTCGATAGGTTTCTAACACCCTCTTTTTTGCAGGGGGTGTACCAGGAATTGAACTCAGGGACACTCCACCATGGAGCCCCATCCCAGCCCTGTTCTGTGTTTTATTTAGAGACAGGGTCTCACTGAGCTGCTTAGGGCCTCACTGTTGCTGAGGCTGGCTTTGAACTCAGATCCTCCTGCCTCAGCCTCCCCAGCCGCTGGGATGACAGGCGCGTGCCAGCCTCCATGCCTGGCTTTAACACCCTCTTTTAAATAGAAACCACTTGGCTTTTTACACCAAAGCAAACTCTTACAGAATGTTCCAGCCTAGGCTAAGATGCAGCTAAGGATGCGATTGTAACAGGGAGGAAACCCGGGCTGATTTCTCCTCCCTGGTTCTTCCCCCTGCCCCCTCAGGCCCAGTGGTGAGCCCCAGCACCTGGGGACGCTGCTGTGCCCCATGTGGTAGAAGCCCAGTACCTGCTGGGACCAGTGACCCATGACTTGTCCCAAGTCAGCGCGGTGGCTGTTTCTGCCCCACGCCTTTTAATGCTTCTCAGGAGCAGACAGCAGACCTCCCCGGCTTCCGCCTCCACCTCCCGCCCAGGCCCCCACTCCAGACCTCCCCATGAAGGTGTCAGGTGGCTTCCACACTTACTGACTCACCCAGTGAATGGGGACACCGTTCCCAGGGGTCACTTAGCTCCCAGCCGCGCTCAGTGCAGCCTCCTTATTTCAGACATGACCCTGTTTGGTTGGAGACTTCTCACCTGCGGATCACCTGGGGTCCAGGCTGGACGCCACCTTGGCTCTGGGCGACATTTCCTCTGCGTGGGTAGACAGACCACCTGGCAGCCCTTGGCCTCTGCCCAGAGCCTCTGCCCCGAGTCAGTGATGCAAGTTTACAGGCAGATGGAAGAGGGGTGCGGCCCCCAGAAAATGTGGGTAGACAGGCTGCTCCCCCAGCAACTCCTTGAACTTGTCCTTATGGTGGGCTCATTTCCAGAGGCGTAGCGTAGGAGGGGATGAGTGTGGGATGTTCCCCGCCTTTTCTTTTTTTATAAGATTGACACTTTAGAGATTTTGCCTTTTATGATTGACTGACTGATTGATTGATTTTTGGATACTGGGGATTGTACCCAAGGGTGCTCAGCCACTGAGCCCCATCCCCAGCCCTTTTTCATATTTGATTTAGAGACAGGGTCTCTCTAAGTTGCTTAGGGCCTCACTAAGTTGCTGAGGCTGGCTTGGAGCTCGCAATCCTCCTGCCTCAGCCTCCCTGCCAGTGGGATGTCAGGCGAGGGCCACGCCCCTGGCTGGCTTTGCCGTTTTGTTTTCTTTTTTAAGGATAGTTGAACAACGCGGTGATGGGTTGAGTGTGCTCCTGCTTGTTCACCAAGCCTGTCACTGGCCTGGCCAGCTCAGATCTTCCTGTTAGACAGAAACCAGAACCAAGAGGAGACCCTGTAGTAGATTCCCTGGGAACCAGACGGCAGATCCCAAAGGAGCACTTACTAAGGGGACCGTTTGCAAGGCTGTGAGGCGGCCAGGGTGGCCTGGGGATGGACCCGGCAGCACCAGGGGTCAGCAGCAACTGCCACCAGGGCTGAAGGGGCAGGAGAGGGACCCAGGGAGAAGGGAAGGGGGGAGGGGCGGGGAGGGGGAAGGGAAGGGGCAGCCAGGGACGGGGCTCGCTGGCAGGAGGGCTGTGGCCTTGGGTGGAAAGACATGGCCAGCACCAGGAGACGCCTGGAAGCCCATCCCCGAGAAGGAAGGCGCCGCGCCCTCTCCTCCTCGGATGCCCTCCGCCCCAGCCAGGTCCTCCGCTGGTTGAGGCCCAGGGGAGGCCACGGGGGCGGGGAGCCCACTGGCGAGGTTCCGGGATCAGCGCAGGCGCTTGGCAGAGCCTGGACGTGAGGGACCCGGGAGGCCGCTCCGCAGGGTGGGCGGTCCCCAGCGCCGGGAGGAGCCTGCGCAGGGCGGGGTCTGAGGCCTGCGCCACCCGCGGGGCTCCCAGGGCTCTGCGCTCCTGGAGGGTGGACAGTGGCCAGGACTTGGCCCCAGAGCGCCTGGGTCAGCTGTGGACGACAGAGGCTCCCGAGGAGGGTTGTGAGGAAGGTCCCCAGGGCCCACGACAGGACGCCCGTGGATTTGGCCGTCGCTGTCGTCACTGACCCCTTTTGTGCTGGACCCGGGAGCCCTGCCTGACGGCGCCTGGTCCGGCCCGAGCTCTGGGCTGAGCCCGGGGGCTGTGAAGACGAATAAGACTCATGCTTGACCCTGAAGGCACATTGCAGTCGGGAGGGGACAGGGCATGTAAATAGAAGCCCCTGCGGGTCACAGGTCTTGAGGACAAGGGACCAAAAAGCAGTGCGTGCGTCCCTCAGAGGAAATGGCCAGGACCTCCAAGGAGGGAAGCGCCCAAATTCCAGCAGAGGGTGCAGCTCCACGCGCCCAGGGTGGAGGTGGCCTCTGGGATTTGGGGCTTGGTGGTGTGAACGGTCAGGACCCCCCGGCAGGACCTTAATAGGCCCCACAGATCAGGGGTGACTGAGACAAAGGGGCCCAGCTCCTGTCTCCACAACAGAGACCCCAGGGCTGGGCTGAGACCCTGTGGGGAGCACATGTGCTGAATGGAAGGAGTCTCCCCACCGGGGGCTGCGGGGGGAATTGGTTCAGGAACCTCCCACAAGGCCCCGGGAAGCTGTCCTGCCCCCTGTCTGATTTGCTGGCCTCACAAAGAACCTAAAACAAATGGCCTGCTTGCTGCAGTCACGATGCTATTAATAACAGCTGTGCTGGTTGTACTTTTAAAAAGTAGAGGGGATGGCTGCTACCATTTAATTAGCACTGTGTGTTTGCCAGGCACCACGCTGAGAGCTTTATATGGGCTATTTCACTTACTTGCTCCAGAACTCTGGAGGCAGAGCCCTGTTATTAGCTACATTTCACAAAGGAAGACAGGAGGCTCAGAGAGGGCAAGTGGCTTCCCCAAGATCACACAGCAAAAAAATTTGGAAGTAGGATTCCACCCCCAGCACATCTACTGTTAAAAACCAATTCCCTGACCCCTGGCAACACAAGAATAACACGCCCTTTATTGTGCTTCTTTCCAGTGTGCAGACAGCGGTGGATTGTAGCAACGGCGGCAGGAAAGAAATGTAAGTTGAACCCCAAGTAGAGCTGAGCAGCTGACAGAAGTGAGCCCCTGGCCGTCTGTGTGCAGTTCACTTGGGAAACAGCCCCACCCGCTTGGAAAGGGATCACCAAAGCCAACAAGAGCTGGACTTCACAGTCATCGCCTATAACACAGGGGACGTGTGACTGAACCTCCAGTTTCATATAGACCGAGAGCAGCCGGTGCCTTATCACACCATGTCCCCAAGCACCTTCCGTGGCTCCCCATTGCCCAGAACAGACTTTTGGGTGGATGTTTGTGTCCTGCACATTTTGACCCTACCTTTCCATGTCACCCATGCCTCAACCTTGAAGGACCCCCATACCTATGTGTATCGAAATGTCTTCCACTGAAAATTTCTCTCTGCAGTTTCTGTGTGGCCAGGTCCTGATCCTCACAGGACCCATGAGTCACAGGTCCTGACCTCCACTACCACCACTTGGGACCTTCCTTGTGTCCCCAAGAAGCAAATCAAGGCTCCCTACTGAGCCAGTCTTAGCCTCTCTTCTCTGTCCCTCCCTACAGTGCGGTCATTTCTCCTTTATTCCGTAGTTCCTTAATGAGATGTGTTTCCACTCTGCTTGGCTAGAGTCTTGAGGGCAGGGTCAATGTTGAGTCCATGGGGACTTGTACAGAGTGTCCATGACAACACGCACGCGCGCGCCCACACACGCACACATACACACACACAGTCTCACGCAATTTCCTGGTTCACCAACCAGGACATAATTATTGAGTCTCTGTGTAGACCTCTGCCTGGGCCGTTTTCAGAATCACAGAGCACAGAGTAAAATCCCCAGTTCACAACCACATTCCAGTTAAGATAAGGAGTTAAACCTGCCACATTTGCTACTTCACGGACATCTTATTTGGTATAAAATTCAATGCCAACTCGAGTACAGTGGCCCCCGCCTGTCACCCCAGCAGCTCGGGAGGCTGAGGCAGGAGGATCTCAGGTTCAAGGCCAGCCTCAGCCACAGCGAGGCCCTCAGCAGCTCAGTGAGACCCTGTCCCTAAATAAAACACAGAATAGGGCTGGGGACGGGGCTCCGTGGTTGAGTGCCCCTGAGTTCAATCCTTGATACCCCCCAAAAAAAAATCTGTTCTGGAGCATGTTTCCCCCCCAGGAAGAGTGCAGAGGTCAGTCACACGGGCCTTGGGAATGAAGGGAGCAGGGCTTAGACCCCGATGTCATCAACTAGCTGGACGACCTTGGCTGAGACCCAATCTTGGCCCTGCAGACCCCACGACTCCCATCTGTGTGCAGGGGACTGACCCCCACCCGAGGGACGAGGCACAAGGTCCTGCCGGCTTGTGCTCTGGAGCAAAGGTCTAGTTATGGGGGTCCCCGGTTGTCCTTGTGACGCAGAGTCCTGTGTTCTGATTGTAGAGACAGCTTCTCCGCCATCAGCTCCCAGCCAGAGGGCAGCCTGCAGTCCTGGCTGAGCTGCACTCTGTCCCTGGCCACAGACACGGCCAAGAGCCCGTCTCGACAGTCCGCCGCCAGCAGCTACACCCTCCACGCCAGGTAAGAGCGCCACCTGTGTCGCTGCTTGGCCGACAGCCCCGGATCCCATTGGCAAGGTTGTCCTTCAGGTCTCCCAGCCTCAGCGAGGACAGCCTTGGTCCTCACGGTCTGAGCCATTCCCCTGTCCCTTCCTGACTGTGTGACTCTCTGGGTCTCCTCTTCCTTTACTCTCAACCATGAAATAAGGTCGTATCCACTGACTCAAAGGGTCGAAATGAAGAGGATCTGTTGCCAACCTCTCCAAAGCATGCTTTCCTGATTATTGTAAATAGTAGGGTAAACTTTAAGATGTTAATAGTTATTATTACAGTTGACTTCTACTTAAGACATGATAGTTTTCCATTTACAGATAGTTACAGTTTGACAATTTTCTTTGTTAAAAGAACCTAGTTACTAAAGTGTTTCATTTTAGCCAGGCACCGTGGCAACGCCTGCAACCCCAGGGGCTCGGGAGGTTGAGGCAGGAGGATTGCAAGTTTGAGGCCAGCCTCAGCAACTCAGCGAGGTACTTAGCGACTCAGCAAGACTCTGTCGCTAAATCAAATATAAAAAAGGGCTGGGGATGTGGCTCAGTGGCTGAGCACCCTGGAGTCAATCCTCAGTAAACAAAAAACACAACAAAAATGTTTTGTTCTTGTTATTGTTTATGAGGGGGAGTGGCTACAGAGAATAAAGAAACTAAAGCCAGGTGCCGCCGTGCTGCACACCTGCAGCCCCAGGAGGCTGAGGCAGGAAGATTTCTTGAGTCTAGTTGAGACGAACCTGGGCAATATACTGAGAATTTTAAAAACAAATAAATAAATAGAAGAAGGAAGGAAGAAAGAGAAAAGAGAAAGTTGAGCTGGATGGTGTTTCATTTTATTGGGAGACAGGACCACATCGGTTCCATGCCACCCATGCCGGTCCTCTTGGCCCTGGCCACGATGAGATGCTCATGGGCCACAGGATTGCCCGGAGCGGGCTCCCCGACAGACTGGCCCCGGGGTGCACCCTTCCTCCCATGAATCAAGTCCACCCTCCCTGGGCTTCCAGCTCCATTTCTCCGAGTCCGCCTGGTTTTCCTCTCCAGGGCGACCCTCTTGTAATCAGGGCTTCATGGCCATAAACCAGGAATCACGGATGAAGCAGATGCATGATTAAGATGACATCACCGGCCCCCCTAACCCAGGGCCCAAGAGATAGACAGGAAGAAGAGTCAGAGGCCAGCGGGGGCCCAGGCCTCCCTCCTGACTGGAGCCTCGTTTGCTCTGAAGCAGGGGCTCTCTCCACCAAAAGAGGGGCCAGGGCTTCACGCTGCCCCTTGGGCATGTTCAGCAAATGGCAGACGCCTGGCCCACACCGGGCTAATCCTAGACGGAAATATTTGAGGTAGAAAATGTGAGTGCACCCCTTTAAGCAGGGGGGGATCTGGGGATCATCTGATTTTTCTGTTAATTAAAAACAAAGGCCTGTGGAGGAAGGATCGTGTCCTCCGCAAAAGTTAGGACTTTCCCTTCGACCTCGGTCTCCCCTGCCCACAGTGCGTGAGGCAGCAGAGGCAGAAGTGGGGAGGCCAGAGGAGAACACCGATGCTCCGTCACACGAGGTGCAAGTTTCATAATCAAATTATAGTAGGGTGCCCGAGAGGGACCCATAACCAGTGGCTTACACCTTACGCATCTATTTGCATGAGAGACGGTGGGGCGTGGGGTGGTTTCCATGCACCGCCTAAAGTCAGAGCCTCTGGAGTCCAATCTTTTATTTGCAGATCCACGGCTGTGTGATTTGGGGCAAATTGCTTAACCTCTCTCTGTTCGTGCCTCCTCATGGATCATTTGGGGTTGTGGTCAGGGTAAATGTGGGGATGTGCATGGTGTTCTGCACCCAGAGCCTGGTGCCTAGGACATGCTCAGCTAATTAGCTGCTTTAGGAGCACGAACACCTGAATGCTCAGAGCAACGCCAGGAGGTGGATCTCATCAGTCACTGTTAGGAAGATGGTGAGACCCCGGGAGGCCCCAGCAGCTGACTCTGCATTGGTCTGAGCCAGTCCTCTCCCGCCCCTCAGGGAGGTGGGTGCTCAGCAGCCATCTCCAGGCCTCCTCAGGGGGCAAACGAGCCACTTGGACACTTGTAAGAAGGAATTCCTTGTCTCTCCTGGGGACATGTCAGTGTCCCAGGGCTGGCTTACAGTCTGTGCTCAATAAGGGTTTGGTGAATGGATGATTATCATAGCAGTAAGGCTGGGGCAGAAATAGGAACCTTATTTAGCCATAGCTCGGTAGCCATTGTGGCTCAGAGAGGGTGGATGGTTGGCGCAATGTCACACAGCGAGTAAGTGGAAGAGTCAGGATCTGAACCCCTGCTGAGGCCTGGTTTTGGATTTGCCCCACTACCATGGCTCTCTGGTGTTTGTCCAGGAGTTGGACTGATCACCTGGCAGAGTGTGTGTGGGGGGACAGTGTGTCCTGTTACTACAAGGGCTTAAGGAATGTTATTTAGCATTCGACATTCAGCAGAAGAGGTTGGTCCAGGGCCTACTGCGTGCCAGGGCCCATGGCGAGAAGCCCTGATCACTGTGGACCTTTCCTTTGAATCATCATTCAAACCAGAATTCGAGACACTCTGAGTTGGAAAGAAGCATCGGGCTTCTCTAGTCCAGAGTGCTCATCACAGAGAGGGAGGGAGAGCCAGGTCTGCGGAGGGCGGATCTCACCCGAATGACGGTGGTCGCTGGCCAGGGCCGCCCCTCCAGCTCTGAGAGCTGCACAGTCCTCTTGTGAGGACGTCCTCCCTCCAGAGCGTACGGTGAAGCACAGGTGAATGTTGAAAATGGAAATGCGGGTTGCCCTGGTTTGATCACCACGTGTTCTAGGCTGGACTGAATGATCTCACCAGACCCCAAAATGGGTAAAATCAAAATTAATTTCCTACAAATTCTTTTCCTTCCTTTCCTTTTCCTTTATTAGTATTATTTTTTTTAATTTTTGCAGTACTGGGGATTGAACCCAGGGCCTCACACTTGCTAGGCAGGTACTCTACCACTGAGCCACATGCCCAGCCCTTTTTATTTTAATATGAGACAGACTCTCACTAAGTTGCTGAGGCTGGCCTCAAACCCTTGATCCTCTTGCTTCAGCCTCCCAAATAGCTGGAATACAGCGGGGTGGGCTACCATGCCCAGGTCTTCAAATACATTTCTAGTGGGCTTTCATTTCAGGATCCCAACACTGTACAGAATTTCAACTCTTTTTTTGTTCTGAATCCAAACCTATCATGCCCAGTTTCAGAGAAATATTTATAGCTAGATTCAAAATGTCTGAGCTTTAGAATGAAATCTCCACTGGGGTCAGGGATGGGGGGATTCAACGATATCATAGCGTAAATACCATTAGTCTGATAATGAGAAGAATATTGGATTTCAGGAAAACTAATAGAGTCACCCCTCTTCTTCTAAAAGGAAAGTGTTGGACGAGGTAAAGAAAGGATGATTACAAATCTGTATCTCAAGATAAAGGAATCAATTTCTTTCTTCATATAAATAAAATGATTTCCCGATTCCTAACATGACGTGAAGTTGAGGCACGATTCATTTTATGTTCCAGTCATGCCTGGGTAGGTGATCACTGCCCCCAGCACACTCAGTAGTATCACGAATAAAAAAGAAATTAAAATAGAAGACTAAAATCTTCTTGTCCAACACTCCAATCCTAGCTCCCTTTCCACAGGGATCAGCCATCTTCTGTTTGGAGCGCACCCTTCCACACCTCTCTCTCTGTAATTATGTCATGTATATGCACTTGTAGCAAAGGGCATATCTGTTGGCTTTTAAAATCACATATTACATGATGCTATTTTATGTATACTATTTCTGAATTCTGATGGTGTGTTTCTTTCCCTTCACAATGTATCTTGGAGATCTTTCCTTACCTGTACACTAAAGCCCATCTTATTCTTTTAAATCCCTGCAAAAGCCGGGTGCAGTGACGCATGCCCATGATCCCAGCTGACGCATGCCCATGATCCCAGCAGCTCGGGAGGCTGAGGCAGGAGGATCTTGAGTTCAGAGGTAGCCTCAGCTACTTAGTGAGGCCCTAAGCAACTCTGGAAGACTCTGTCTCTAAATAAAACATAAAACAGGGGCTGGGGACGTGTCTCCGTGGTCAGGTGCCCCTGAGTTCAATCCCTGGTACCAAAACCAAAAGAAAAAAAGAAACTTAAATCCCTGCCAGAGATCTCGAGGTTGGCCCTGCTTTGCCGAACTGTAGGCCTTCATATTTCACTTTCAGGTGCTTTCCAGATCTTTCCTATAAATCTGTCAGGCTTCAGGAAACACGCGTCCCCAGGCACCCGGGCGAGTGGTTCTCCAGGTCACAGGGTGCAGAGCTTGCCAAATGGGCCCAGCCTCCTCCCTGCTAGGAGACTCGGTGGAGGAGCAGAGCAAAGAACTGGGAGGTGAGAGTCCCTGTGTCACCTGGCGTGTGGCCGGGCTCCATAGACAAGCCTCTAGGTTCTTTCCAGTTTGACTGAGAAAGAAGGTCACTTTAAAAGCAGAAGAGAGTGGAAGGCAGTCTCCTGCCAGGGCCTGAGCTCACAGCCCGCACTATTCATCAGAAGATGTCAGCCCCAGAGAAATGCACCCAGCCCCGTGATTTACCGCGCGGCCGCCGAGCTGCTGCTGAGAGATGCAGGTGCTTCTGGGGACGGAGACACTCGATCACCTCTGTGGCCCCTGGGGATGGCATTTACGGGCTTGGTGGTGGCAGCTAAAGTTTGTTCAGGGGGCTCTGTGCGCCTGGTGGCAGGTGGTACCAGGGCTGCCCAGGGTTGGCACGCCCCTGTCCTCCAGCCCCCTGAAGCCGCGGGCTCTCTAATGCCCTCCCAGCCCCGCAGGTTTCCAAGGGGACACTGGGCCCCACTCGCTGAGACTCCCATCCGCTGACCCAGCCGTGGTCCCGCAGGGCGTCAGGGCCCGGGCGCTGATAGACGTTGCTTGACCCGACTCTGCAGGATGCTCCCTGGTCAGCCGCTGGCCGCATCTGATAGGACAGTGAACACTCCAGCCCACCCAGGGACCTGCGTCTCCTGCAGCCTCAGTTCCTCCCGACCCAGTTGTTCTTTCTGGAGGAATCATGGATACCACGGGGTCCTCCCCATGTTTTGAGGTGGGGCGGGGGTACCTGGATTGAACTCATGGGCCCTGGACCGCTGAGCCCTGTCCCCAGCCCTATTCTGTTTTATTTAGAGACAGGGTCTCACGGAGCTGCTCAGGGCCTCGCTGTGGCTGAGGCTGGCTTTGAACTCGCCATCCTCCTGCCTCAGCCTCCAGAGCCGCTGGGGTGATGGGTGTGCGCTCCCACGCCCAGCTCAAACCCTCCATCTTAAACTCCGTCCTGTCCACGGCCTGGCTGAGTGGCTTCTCCTTCCCTTCACATCCAGACTTCCCCAAAGGGAGAAGTCACCTGTCCCTGTCTGTCTCTCTGCCTCAGTTGACCACGCCCCAGAGCCCGCCCTCACCAGCACATCCAAACCTTTTCCATGACATCAGATGTCCCCGTGACACCAACCAGGGGGCCTTCTCCGTCCTTGGCTTTCTCTAACTTCTCCCCAGCGTGGCTGCCGTCAAACACTCTTAAAACTTTTGGCTTGACCTCAACATGCCTGTCCTTTGGCGCTCCTCAGACTGACGCCCAGGCTCTTCCCGCCCGACCTCCCCAAAGCGGGGGTGCACCGTGTCCCCGCTCACCTGGCTGCTCCTCTCTCCACCTGAGGGCGGGCGACTGTCTTTGATTTGCATCCCCAGATGTGGGCAAGTGACCCCCAAATCTAGACCACTCGCTCTCGGCTTCTCCCGGGTCTTAAACGGCTCTGTCTTAGCTGAAGGTGCTCTCGGTCGCCTGCCGGGGTTCTGGCTGACACTGCCTGTCCTCCCTGACCTGCCGGGGAAGCTCGTCCCCCCGACCTGTGTCATCATCATGATGGGAGGGGCCTCTGTCACTCATGAAGCCACTCGAGCTGGGGATCTTGGGTCACCCCAGCCTGTCCTCCCTCCCTGTCATTCCCAGAGTCAACCGGTCCCTCATCTGGAAGACTCTGCTCCCCTGGGGACCCTGGGATTCGGGAACTCAAGGCCATCCTGGGGACGGGGCCTCTCACCAGCCTCTCTGCTCGGCTGCCCATGAGCTTTCTGAGGCAGCCAGATGGTGGCCAACGACCCCAAGCTCAGGCCTGTGCACTCTGGGTCACGGTTCTCACCTGTTCTGGGAGACGGGGAAAGTCCCAGGAGACCACCGGACATGGGGGCAGGAAGGGTTCCCCAGAGGACTATGGGCACCTTGACTGAAGCAGAATATTACTAGGTGGATAAAAATGGGAAGCGTAGCTCCTCCCCTCCCCCAAGGGGAAGAGGAACTATGGGACCAGATGACGAGGACAGTGAGACAGACCTGGCACAGGTTCCGAGTCCCTGTGAAACCTTGGGAAACCCAAACAAAAGCCGGGGTCTTGGTCAGAGACTTCATTTATGCCTTGATTTCGGTGGCCCGTCTCTCACCGCATCTTTAGCAGGGCTGTGATTCGATTTGGCCGCCCAGCCCGGCTCTCGAGTGGCTCTTGGACTTGCCACATCCTGCACAGGGAGCGGGGAGATTATTGTATAAATCTTTCTCACTCACATAATCATCGTGATTTTAATTACTGTGTAATCTTCGCTAATTACTGTTGTATGTATCATTTGCTTTGGTGCCGATTTCACACAACTGCTCTCCGTCGGGCTAAAAGATGGTGTAACAACTTTTTCTTTGCTGGGGAAAATTTGCTTTCCGTAAACACGTTGAGCCTCTACTCCTGGCTTTGAGGTGCTTGGTTTAAGAGAGAAAGATTTAGATACCACCGCCAGGCCTGTTGGTTTTAATTTGGTGCAAGGCTGACTTGAATTCGTGAAAAGGTGCAAATTGCAGGTATTGTTGTTGTTGTTGTTGTTGTTTTTCTTTCTTTCTTTCTTTCTTTTAGATAAAGTTGTATTGCTCTCAAGGAAATGCAGTATTCTCGACCAAGCGTGAAGCCAGGCGTG